CAAGAACCAATTCATGATATCGAAGAAAAACAACCAGGTATTTTAATTTAAATAAAATAGATCAATTAATCTATTTCGTTTTTTTTGTCTTTAGAACTTCCAATAACATCAGGTGATGATGTTGATTCTGATCCTAATCAACGTCGTATATCTCGATTTGAATTAAAAAGACAACCATCATTTGAATCGTTGGCATCATCAATATCAACAGCAAGTAAACCAACTAAATCATCTCGTTATGAAATATTTAATTTAACTCAACCTGATGAATCAAGTACAGAAGAACCATTAAAAGCTAAAATATGTCATTTACGTAAAAGTAAACATTATGATGGTTATGGATTAGTATTAAAATTTCAACAACATCTTCATATCATTGGTGAAGTTGAACATGCATCACCTTCATATCGAGCTGGTCTACGTGAAAATGATGTTATTTTATTTGTTGGAAAAACAAATGTTGAAAAATTAGCACATGAAGATATTAAAGTTATGATACGTGCAGCATCATTAGCATCAAATCAAGTTGATTTGACTGTTATATCCAAATTAGATATTCCAGAATATAAAACATTACAAGAAAAAGGTTTAATTGACTGGTCAATTATGGGATTGGAAAGATAATTTATTTATTTATTTATTTCTCTATCATTTTCTTACTAATTAACACAATGTATTCATTTATTTTAATAAAATTATTTATTATTGAATTATTTCTAAACAATACTATATGTAACACTCTTGCTTAGTTTTTAACTACATAGTACTCATAAAGTGCTTTATACAAATGAAATTTATAGTTTTTCTAATACAAATAAAGAAAAAATAATTGTTTGGTATAGCCGAATTAATCATTTCATATGTTTCTGCCTATCAAGTTTTCGATCATTTTCTGAATTCCATATTTTTGTGATTATTATTATTGTATCAATCATAGCTATCAAAAAATGGTTCACTATCATCGTCATTTTCTATAATCAAAATGCAGATGTGCAGAACTGCAGACAAAACGTTAGAGTTAGCTAGGACCAGGCAAAAAAAAATTCAAGGAATTATAGAGAAATTTTACAAACTTTAGCAATCAAAAAGATTAAATTAGTCAAGTGAGTGATTAAAAAATATGCAATCAAGAATTGTTTCACATTTACAACAACTAAATTCTGAAATAGTTTTCTATAAATAAAAACCAAGACAAACTTTTGATGAGTCTGAATCAATACTTTGAATAATATATGAACTAAGTAGAAATTTCTCATAACTATAATATTTGCCCATAGTATTAAATAAGAACATACAGTTTCGTTTAACAGTATGGCTATCATTTATCTGTATTATATAGATGCGTGTATATTTCCTTCTTGTGTATTTTCGTAAATCTATGAAATGATCAAATAATGAGTACTTTTTTCGTTTATGCACTTACTAAGTATTAACTTATATTTCTTATCGAATAAATATATCAATATTAGTTTTCTTTGTTGTATTATGATAAATTTTGCCTTTTCATATTTTGGTAACGAAGAAAAAGTATTTTTCAAATTTTCATTGTAAACTTTGAATAACAATGATGAACTATTCAGGATACTATCTAGTATTTTCTAATGGTAGATTGTTTTCATACTACACTTTCTAGAACGTTAGCTGAATTGAAAATCAACAATTTCTCTGCAAACATCATATCAATATCTTATGTGTCAACTGAATTGCATGATTCTTGATAAGAATATGCACCGATAGTGATTATGCATAGCCAAATCTTTCACGTGATTTGAGAGTTTTTGATTTTAATCTAGCTTATCATTTATTAATTCTATATCACATGCACTGTCAAAATACATTAATTGTTTTGTATATTAAAGAGACACTTGAGCAATAACATACTAAGTGAATATTATCTAGATTA